AGGCAGCATGATGTTAAGTACTGTGGTAGAGGCAGCATGATGTTAAGTACTGTGGTAGAGGCAGCATAATGTTAAGTACTGTGGTAGAGGCAGCATGATGTTAGGTACTGTGGTAGAGGCAGCATGATGTTAGGTACTGTGGCAGAGGCAGCATGATGTTAGGTACTGTGGTAGAGGCAGCATGATGTTAGGTACTGTGGTAGAGGCAGCATAATGTTAAGTACTGTGGTAGAGGCAGCATGATGTTAAGTACTGTGGTAGAGGCAGCATGATGTTAAGTACTGTGGTAGAGGCAGCATGATGTTAAGTACTATGGTAGAGGCAGCATAATGTTAAGTACTGTGGTAGAGGCAGCATGATGTTAGGTACTGTGGTAGAGGCAGCATGATGTTAGGTACTGTGGTAGAGGCAGCATGATGTTAAGTACTGTGGTAGAGGCAGCATGATGTTAAGTACTGTGGTAGAGGCAGCATAATGTTAAGTACTGTGGTAGAGGCAGCATAATGTTAAGTACTGTGGTAGAGGCAGCATAATGTTAAGTACTGTGGTAGAGGCAGCATGATGTTAAGTACTGTGGTAGAGGCAGCATAATGTTAAGTACTGTGGTAGAGGCAGCATGATGTTAAGTACTGTGGTAGAGGCAGCATGATGTTAAGTACTGTGGTAGAGGCAGCATGATAAGTACTGTGGTAGAGGCAGCATGATGTTAGGTACTGTGGTAGAGGCAGCATGATGTTAAGTACTGTGGTAGAGGCAGCATGATGTTAGGTACTGTGGTAGAGGCAGCATGATGTTAGGTACTGTGGTAGAGGCAGCATGATGTTAAGTACTGTGGTAGAGGCAGCATGATGTTAAGTACTGTGTAGAGGCAGCATAATGTTAAGTACTGTGGTAGAGGCAGCATGATGTTAGGTTACTGTGGTAGAGGCAGCATATGTTAAGTACTGTGGTAGAGGCAGCATGATGTTAAGTACTGTGGTAGAGGCAGCATGATGTTAAGTACTGTGGTAGAGGCAGCATGATGTTAAGTACTGTGGTAGAGGCAGCATAATGTTAAGTACTGTGGTAGAGGCAGCATGATGTTAGGTACTGTGGTAGAGCAGCATGATGTTAGGTACTGTGGTAGAGAGCAGCATGATGTTAGGTACTGTGGTAGAGGCAGCATGATGTTAGGGACTGTGGTAGAGGCAGCATGATGTTAGGTACTGTGGTAGAGGCAGCATAATGTTAAGTACTGTGGTAGAGCAGCATGATGTTAAGTACTGTGGTAGAGGCAGCATGATGTTAAGTACTGTGGTAGAGGCAGCATGATGTTAAGTACTGTGGTAGAGGCAGCATGATGTTAAGTACTGTGGTAGAGGCAGCATGATGTTAAGTACTGTGGTAGAGGCAGCATAATGTTAAGTACTGTGGTAGAGGCAGCATGATGTTAGGTACTGTGGTAGAGGCAGCATGATGTTAGGTACTGTGGCAGAGGCAGCATGATGTTAGGTACTGTGGTAGAGGCAGCATGATGTTAGGTACTGTGGTAGAGGCAGCATAATGTTAAGTACTGTGGTAGAGGCAGCATGATGTTAAGTTATGTGGTAGAGGCAGCATGATGTTAAGTACTGTGGTAGAGGCAGCATGATGTTAAGTACTATGGTAGAGGCAGCATATGTTAAGTTACTGTGGTAGAGGCAGCATGATGTTAGGTACTGTGGTAGAGGCAGCATGATGTTAGGTACTGTGGTAGAGGCAGCATGATGTTAAGTACTGTGGTAGAGGCAGCATGATGTTAAGTACTGTGGTAGAGGCAGCATATGTTAAGTACTGTGGTAGAGGCAGCATAATGTTAGTACTGTGGTTAGAGGCAGCATAATGTTAAGTACTGTGGTAGAGGCAGCATGATGTTAAGTACTGTGGTAGAGGCAGCATAATGTTAAGTACTGTGGTAGAGGCAGCATGATGTTAAGTACTGTGGTAGAGGCAGCATGATGTTAAGTACTGTGGTAGAGGCAGCATGATAAGTACTGTGGTAGAGGCAGCATGATGTTAGGTACTGTGGTAGAGGCAGCATGATGTTAAGTACTGTGGTAGAGGCAGCATGATGTTAGGTACTGTGGTAGAGGCAGCATGATGTTAGGTACTGTGGTAGAGGCAGCATGATGTTAAGTACTGTGGTAGAGGCAGCATGATGTTAAGTACTGTGGTAGAGGCAGCATAATGTTAAGTACTGTAGGTATGGCAGCATGAGTGGTACGTGGTAGAGGCAGCATATGTTAAGTACTGTGGTAGAGCAGCATGATGTTAAGTACTGTGGTAGAGGCAGCTGATGTTAAGTACTGTGGTAGCGGCAGCATAGATGTTAAGTACTGTGGTAGAGGCAGCATAATGTTAAGTACTGTGGTAGAGGCAGCATGATGTTAAGTACTGTGGTAGAGGCAGCATGATGTTAAGTACTGTGGTAGCAGGCAGCATATGTTAAGTACTGTGGTAGAGCAGCATAATGTTAAGTTCTGTGTAGAGGCAGCATGATGTTAAGTACTGTGGTAGAGCAGCATGATGTTATTTCTGTGGTAGAGCAGCATTAAATGTTATTACTGTGGTAGAGGCAGCATGATGTTAAGTACTGTGGTAGAGGCAGCATAATGTTAAGTACTGTGGTAGAGGCAGCATAATGTTAAGTACTGTGGTAGAGGCAGCATGATGTTAAGTACTGTGGTAGAGGCAGCATGATGTTAAGTACTGTGGTAGAGGCAGCATGATGTTAAGTACTGTGGTAGAGGCAGCATGATGTAAGGTACAAAGAGCTTTTGCTTCACATAACGCTGACTGTAAAACTGAAGCAATGCAGTGATTGATTTAAGGTTTAATGAGTGAATACAAAAAATAAAATACTTTCCTGAGACTTACTCAGCTTAATGATAAAAGAAAAAATATACAAAAAATCATTAGTTACCGAGGAATAAAAGAACCTGTGGAAATGGCGATAAAAGGAAAAAACTAAAACTTTTCTTCGGGTAGCTAATGACTCGAAATTAGGAGTTCAGGAGAAAATTATTACAATAGTTTGTCTGACAACTGTTTTAAATTATTTTTCTGTGGAATTTCAGCTAACCCAAAGCAGAATATTTTAAGACCTGGAAGATCATGATTATCACGACTGCTAAAGCATTATGACAGAATTATAGAGGCTTTGGAAGAAAGCCAAAACGAAGTTGAGGTATTCACAGGTTTTGCAAAGGTGTTTGACAAATGAGATCAAGGGAGACATAAAAAACGCTCGTCACTGTTCCAAAGTGTCATCATTTGCAGATGACACTAAAATTAGCATGAAAGTCACTTCGGTAGAAGAGAGTGAAAAATTGTAGGAAGATATAAGCAAAGTTTACCAGTGGGCAGTGAAAAACATGAAGTTCAAAGATGATAATTTCCAGTTGTTTAGATATGGAAATAATGAAGAGCTCAAAAGTGACATGTTACAAAAAAATCCCCAAGAGGATCATCAAGCAGAGGAAGGAAACGTAATAGACCGAGAGAAATATGTCAGGTGACCTTCCTTTCAAAGGACACAATACAGCAGATGTAACACAACCAGGAAGATGACGGGGTGGATAACGAGAACTTTCCAAGAAAGGGAAATAGTACCAATGGTGGTGGCAATTTCCAAATCGCTTGTGCTCACTCATTTGGAATATTGCTCAGTTTAGACGGCCCCGTTCAGGGCAGAAGAAATATCATAGCTGGAAGAAAGATCGTGTACAGCCCACAATGAACCAACAGAGCATTTAAATTACTGGGAACACTTTAAAGTTTTAAATATGTACTCAGTGGAGTGGAGGAGAGAAAGATGGATGATAATATATATCTGAAAAGTACGAGAGGGTCTTGTCCCAATCTGCAAACTACCATAACATACTGAAGTGAGAGATATGGGAGAAAGTTCAAAATAAACTCATTGAAAAGCAGGGGCGCCATGGGCATACTAAGGGAACACTGTGTCAACGTCCGTCGCCCTAGACTATTCAACATTTTACCATAAGATATCAGAAAGAGAAGCAACAGCGTGGTTGACTAGGCAAGCACCAGATGAGCCTGGACAAAGGTCGGACTCTGGGAGTAGAAAAACTATTGGAACTCATCAAAAATATATCCATAAGTGAAATTACAGTTCCAAAAGAAAAGGGGGGTAACATAATGGTTTCTTAAAGTAAAACTGAGGTTTATATAATATATATATATATATATATATATATATATATATATATATATATATATATATATATATATACACCTGAATTTTCTATAATGCAATTGAATAAAACGAGTTTTATTTGAATTAAATCCAAGATGTGGAAAGACTGAAGCATAAAATGAGAGAATCATGAAGTTTCAGGAGGGACATAATTTATATAGCAGTAGCTACAAAGTGGAGGGAGCAGCATTAAGAGTGGCGAGTGGCTACCTTTGGATGTGCTGTGACGGTCTTTAAAATACATTAAGAATAGAGTAGAAGACAGAAATTAACTCTTTGGAATATCACAGTTGGTGGTCAATGAAATAAAAATGATTTAATTAGAAATACAATGAAAATATTTGTAGTAAGATGCATATATTTGATGCTGAAAAAATAACAAAATGTGGTACTTCAATATGAAATCCGATTACAATGAAAAAGAAATATCCAAGCACTTTCGTAATGTATCGATCACGTTAGGTAAGGTTAGGTTCGTCAGGAAACAGGACAAGTGTTTCCTGACGAGGGTTTTAGGCAGATGATGACCCGCCACCGTTGGAGTTTTTGGTCATCTGACTAAGGCCTTCCGCTGGCTTGCCGGTCCACCCGTTAAAAATTAGGGCTTTAAGTCTATCGTTCACATGTCTGAATTCCTTCAGTGTGTTCCTTGAGAATATGATTGATACGCCACGAAAGAGCTTGAAATTTGTTTCTCCTTCATTTTTTTTTCAAATTGCATATTTATTGTTCTGTAATCTGTGACACAAGAAGAAGCACTGACCAGGTCATGGGTGCTGGAAGCGTAGTGCAGGACCCACATGTTAAAGGATATCATTGTGCACACCACCACCGCTACTATCATCTTCCTCTTGGGCGATAGCTGCCGCATCCTTCCTTAGATTGTTTCTGCTGCCGTCCTTCTGCTTCTGCTGCCGTCCCTCTGCTTCTGCTGCCGTCCCTCTGCTTCTGCTGCCGTCCCTCTGCTTCTGCTGCCGTCCCTCTGCTTCCGCTGCCAAACACTCAGCTCCAGTTTAACGACCATTTCCTCAGCTCAATTATCTCATTTGTGCTCATTTGAAAGCACCGTCTGTCTTAATGGATATCATTCCGTCTACCAAATTAATTGGATAAAATAGGCATCTATCTTTATTACAGTATAGTTTTCCTAGTTTCTCGCTTATCAAAAAATATTCTTCACAGCTTCTCAGATCACAGGTAAATTTAGCTATTAGTCTGATTAATTAGGTCTTTTGTCAATCTGTAATTACACTCAAGGCTCGACAAACCTCAATCGAATAATCTGTGCATAACTCTGTTTAGATAGTTTTAAAGACCTTTATGCTGCACGTGTCAATAAGGCCGTAATTAATATTTACACTAACATAAAGAGTACTTTACTCCCTAAAATAGGTATAGTAAACTCTTAGTGTATATATATAGTGAGATATTTATACATACAGGTATATATATCACAATAACCCTATTTTTCACCGTATTTTTACTAGACTCACGAGGTGTTCGAGGCTTCTTACGGGTAGCCTCATCTTTATACTTCCTTCCAGTAATCTCATACATTATATACTACAGCTAGGTAACGTCTAGGCTTCAGGATCCACCCTCCACAGATTTATGGCTTACCACAAATTTTAATAACAATCCAACATCCTTCATTTAATTATTGGGATTCTATATTTATATCCGTTATATGTAACATCCTCACAGAATTATTGTTTAGCAGTCTAGAGAATAAATAAATTCATAAAATAAAAATGAAAACAAAAAATACATAGTATTATATTTCACATACTTCATATGTAGGATTTAATACCCGGCTGTTAGTTGATCCTCTTTAAGAGCAGGTCACCTTCACTTGTCACTGTATATGTTCATCCATGACTCGAATGCACATGTATTTATAGAGGTAAATGTTTTTTTCGCGACTTGCGAAAAGATTTAATAAAATATAATATAAAATATATATATATATATAAATATATATATATATATATATATATATATATATATATATTTTAATATATATATATAATATATATATATATATATATATATAAATTTTATATATTATATATATATATATATATATATATTATATATATATAATTTTTAATATATATTATTATATATATATATATATATATATATATATATATATAATATAATATATATAAATATAATGTGTGTTTTGTGTTTTGTGTGTGTGGTGTGTGTGGTATTATTTTTTATTATTTTTTATTATCACACTGGCCGATTCCCACCAAGGCAGGGTGGCCCGAAAAAGAAAAACTTTCAAACCCTCATTCGCTCCATCCACTGTCTTGCCAGAAAGGGTGCTTTACACTACAGTTTTTAAACTGCAACATTAAAAACCCCCCTTCAGATGCAGGCACTGTACTTCCCATCTCCAGGACTCAAGTCCGGCCTGCCGGTTTCCCTGAATCCCTTCATAAATGTTACTTTGCTCACCACCCCCAACAGCACGTCAAGTATTAAAAACCATTTTCTCCATTCCCCTCCTATCAAACACGCTCACGCATGCCTGCTGGAAGTCCAAGCCCCTCGCACACAAAAACCTCCTTTACCCCTCCCTCCCCAACCCTTCCTAGGCCGACCCTACCCCGCCTTCCTTCCACTACAGACTGATACACTCTTGAAGTCATTCTGTTTCGCTCCATTCTCTCTACATGTCCGAACCACCTCAACAACCCTTCCTCAGCCCTCTGGACAACAGTTTTGGTAATCCCGCACCTCCTCCTAACTTCCAAACTACGAATTCTCTGCATTATATTCACACCACACATTGCCCTCAGACATGACATCTCCACTGCCTCCAGCCTTCTCCTCGCTGCAACATTCATCACCCACGCTTCACACCCATATAAGAGCGTTGGTAAAACTATACTCTCATACATTCCCCTCTTTGCCTCCAAGGACAAAGTTCTTTGTCTCCACAGACTCCTAAGTGCACCACTCACTCTTTTTCCCTCATCAATTCTATGATTCACCTCATCTTTCATAGACCCATCCGCTGACACGTCCACTCCCAAATATCTGAATACGTTCACCTCCTCCATACTCTCTCCCTCCAATCTGATATTCAATCTTTCATCACCTAATCTTTTGTTATCCTCATAACCTTACTCTTTCCTGTATTCACCTTTAATTGTGTGTGTATATGTATATATATATATATATATATATATATATATATATATATATATATATATATATATATATATATATATATATATACTATATTTTTTAACAAACCTGCCATATCCTACCAAGGAGAAGGGGTTACTAGCCCCTTGCTCCCGGCATTTTAGTCGCCTATATATATATAGCGTCATCAGGAGCTATGCAAAGTTGCAAGGCAACAGCTGAAGAAGTAGAGGGGAAGATTTCTGAGAGTAGCGCAGTGCGGGTTTGTCACCTGCCGCAGCCTCTCTCGGAATTTAACATATCATACGGAAGCACAACTTCACTAGCAAGAGTTCAGTAAGTAAACATATACCACAATGTATATATATAGGAACTAAGAGTAGGGAAATTATGTACATTTCGACTTCAATCAGAAGGTATATGATACATGTTAAACTCCGTATTTTAATTTCTTTCCTTCTTGGAATTTACCTGTTTCATGGCACTTATAACATCACAGTCCACACTGCCCCACCTTCTCGCCTCACCTTAGCCTTGCATACCAACGCTGGTTTAAGATTTTGATCGCTCTGGATGTGAGAAGGTACTTATCCGTCCAGTGTTCGACACTACTGAACTTGAACTGCTGCCCGTTATCTAGTAATCTTGTTGGCTCACTGATAACACTGATAGCTAGTGTAGGGCCGATTATGAACGGCGGGAAGCACATTATTGACGGGAATGGGTGGAGGGAGGGAATGGACGGTGAATACATGGCTTTTATTTCATCTTCTAGAGACGCAATAATAATAATAATGTTAAGTAATAGGACACAAATGCAACTAACGTGACATTTTATTGTGGCAACGTTTCCCTCTCCAGGAGCTTTATCAAACCTTTACGGCTTGATAAAGCTCCTGGAGAGCGAAACGTTGCCACAATAAAATGTCACATTAGTCGCATTTGTGTCCTTTTACTTAACATATTGTCGGTAATTCTACCAACAATAATAATTTATTTCCACATAATACGTAGCTTTTAACAAAATTGGATGACAGCAGTACACGTGGAAAGCCCCTGGTTATGCAGAGCTGTCTACCACACACTCACACAGGTTATATGCCCTGAGAGGTGTATTTCTCTCAGTGTATATATATATGCTGAGAGTTTATTTTAATCTCTATTTTTGGGGATTAAATTACTCTTGTCAGGTGGTGAAAAGGTTACAATGCAGCAAAAGTGAGTCTCGTGTAGACTAAAAGCTTTAATCACCCATTAACCAACCGATCAAACTGAAAAATTCTTGAATCTATAGACTCTCTTGGGAAGCTCATGCATAATGCCAAATGATCAAATTTCGCTTTCGGTGTCACTTTGAAATAATGTATCTCAGGATAAAAATATAAATATGATGCTGAAAAAATGACAGTTTTGAATGTTTAAATTGGCTGTTATTTGAGGGTAATAATTGAATGCTAGGCCTCAGTTTTTATGTAATGGATAAAGTGTAGTTTAAGATGTCCAGAATTAAGTTGGTTCTGTAATCAAGATGGTTGTGCAACTGGGGAAAGCTAACGAAACCTAGCATAACCTAACATATCCCAACATAACCTAGCAATTTAAAAAGCACCCTAACAATGGCCAGAGCTTGCTACCACCTGCAGGTCACATGACTGCCATTCCCATGAGCTTCCCTGGGGCGGGGAAGATGGCAGACCAGAGGCCTCGCTTTTCCCTATGAGCCCCGTGAGGGTGGGGAATGGGGCTAGGCCTGGGGACAGCTGGTCCCTTGTACCTCCTCTCATGGCAGACATAGGTCTCAGACACTCCCAAGACAGGGAGCCAAGGCCGGGTCACCATCTAGGAAAGACCCGGGCCGGGAGAGTACCGGCGAATCAAGAACAACAACAACCCAACATTAACATATCTAACCTAACTTAAACCAACAATTTCAAAGCAACCCACCATTACCAAATCTAACCATCCAACATAACCTAACACCTTAATGTAATCTGTGAGAAATTACCTGCATGAGGTTATTATGTGCAAGTAATTTGGGTGAGGTAAGTGGGACTTAGTCACAGTAGGTCACAGATACCCACTCCATCACCACTCTCAAAAAAAAATCTTGACCTGACATTAAATTAATAATTAAAATATTAAACATTAATACCAGTAATGGTAAATTATAAAATAGTGTGGATTATTATTATTACAATAAAAAAAGAAGCGCTAAGCCACAAGGGCTATACAGCGCGAAAAAAAAAATAGTGTGGAATGTATATTATTTGGCTTGCTGGATACACAGAATATAATTAGTGTGGAGTACATATACATGTAATACAATAGTGTTATTAGAAAAGAAATTCGTATTACCACTTACCATTTACTTACTGTAGTTGGATCACACCACATCGCCTACTTAACATATAGAAACCTACAAAGGCCAGCGAGAAAACTAAGTGAAAGGGCGTACTTCCCTGTGTGAGTGAGGGCGTAGCTCCTTATTTTCCACCATCCACACGCAATTCTGGAGGTCCCGCAGATTTCCTCTCTCAATTCTTCAGCAGGGGACATTAACACGGGCTCCTATTACAAATTCGGGCCGAAACACCCAAGTATGACCTCGATGGCGCCGGATTACACGCCGCCACTAACCGACCAGTGTTCACACATTTAGTTTCACTATGGTGTCCTCTGTCGTCTGTCACTCAGCGGCCGCTGCACACCCTCCTTCACACAAAATTTCTTGAGGAGTTAAATCAGCGTCACATTTTAATACACAATTATTATATTATTCATATTTACGCATGCTGATTTTAGGAAAATTATAAAAAAAAATGTTCCACATAACCCAATATAATCTAAGAACTTAACGTAATACAACTTAATCTAACAACTTAACGTAACCCAACAAAACCTGATGTAACCCATCATACCTTAATATAACTCGAACATAACCAAACGTAACAGAATTTAACTTTGTTATCTTCAGAAATAGAATTGAAGTGTTTTTCTTTTGGCTGTGATTGGCTAGGCGCTCTGACCGCCTCAAATACTAGTCACTGATTGGCCCCTGATGCGGCATTCGAACTATAATATATTTTTTTAATAGCTCCAATAACTATTTATTCCGTGGTGTAGCTAGGTTGTAAATTTCGTAAAATATACAATAATGCCTGAGTTCCGGCGAGGACCAATATTCAACAATAACTTTATTTTGAACCTTAGTGTGTAGTATAAGCACATTCAAATTTCTGAACTCCAGGCCTAGGAGGCCCTTAATCTGGCCCTGTATAAATATTTAACACATACGGGAACACATACACCTCTATGTATGTAAATAAAAAATTGCAAATGTGTGTGTGTGTGTCTTTGCGTGCGTGTGTGTGTGTGTGTGTGTGTGTGTGTGTGTGTGTGTGTGTGTGTGTGTGTGTGTGTGTGTGTGTGTGTGTGTGTACTCACCTAATTGTGGCTGCAGGGGTCGAGACTCAGCTCAGTGTGTGTGTGTGTGTGTATGTGTGTGTGTGTGTATGTGTGTGTGTGTGTGTGTGTGTGTGTGTGTGTGTGTGTGTGTGTGTGTGTGTGTGTGTGTGTGTGTGTATGTGCGTGCGTGCGTGCGTGCGTGCGTGCGTGCGTGCGTGCGTGCGTGCGTGCGTGCGTGCGTGCGTGTGCTGTGTATGCATATGCACAGAAATGAAGCACTAAATTATAGACCAGTGTCACTGACTGCTATAGTATGCAAAGTCATGGAAAAGATTAGCGGGAGGAGAGTGGTGGAGCACCTGAAGCAGAACAAGGTTATAAACGACAGCCAGCACAGATTCATGGAAGGCAAATCCTGCGTCACAAATCTACTAGAGTTTTATGACAAGGTAATTGAAGTAAGAAATGAGAGGGAGGGGTGGGTTGATTGCATTTTCTTGGACTGCAAGAAAGCCTTCGACACAGTTCCTCGCAAGAGATTAGTACAGAAGCTAGAGGAATAGGCACATATAACAGGAAGGGCACTGAAATGCATCAGAGAATACAGGACAGGGAGGCAACAGCGAGTCATGGTCCGTGATGAGGTATGACAGTGGGCGCCGGTGACGAGCGGGGTCTCACAGGGGTCAGTCCTGGGACCAGTGCTATTCTTCGTATATGCGAACGACATGACGGAAGGGACAGACTCAGAAGTGTCCTTGTTTGCGGATGATGTGAAGTTAATGAGGAGAATTAAATCAGATGCGGACCAGACAAGTCTACAAAGAGACCTGGACAGGCTGGATGCGTGGTCCAGCAACTGGCTCCTAGAATTTAACCACACCAAATGCAAAGTCATGAAGATCGGAGAAGGGCAAAGAAGACCGCAGACAGAGTATAGGTTAGGAGGCCAAAGACTGCAAACCTCACTTAAGGAGAAAGACCTAGGAGTGAGTATAATACCGAGTACATCGCCAGAAGCACACATTAACCAGATAACTGCTGCTGCATATGGGCGCTTGGCAAACCTGAGAATAGCTTTCCGGTACCTCTGTAAGGAATCGTTCAAGACTTTATACACTGTGTACGTCAGGCCCATACTGGAGTACGCAGCACCAGTTTGGAACCCACACCTGGTCAAACACGTCAAGAAATTAGAGAAAGTGCAAAGGTTTGCAACAAGGCTGGTTTCAGAGCTAAGGGGAATGTCCTATGAAGAAAGGTTAAGGGAAATTGGTCTGACGACACTGGAGGACAGGAGGGTCAGGGGAGACATGATAACGACATACAAAATACTGCGTGGAATAGACAAGGTGGACAGAGACAGGATGTTTCAGAGATGGGACACAGAAACAAGGGATCACAGTTGGAAGCTGAAAACTCAGATGAGTCAAAGGGATGTTAGGAAGTATTTCTTCAGTCATAGAGTAGTTAGGAAGTGGAATAGTCTGGCAAGCGATGTAGTGGAGGCAGGAACTATACATAGTTTTAAGACGAGGTATGATAAAGCTCATGGAGCACGGAGAGGGAGGACTTTGCAGCGGTCGGTGAAGAGGCGGGGCCCAGGAGCTGAGTCTTGACCCCTGCAACCACAATTAGGTGAGTACACACACACACACACACACACAATCAACCTGACGACACTGGAGGACAGGAGAGATAGGGGGGACATGATAACGACATACAAAATACTGAGAGGAATTGACAAGGTGGACAAAGACAGGATGTTCCAGAGATTGGACACAGTAACAAGGGGACACAGTTGGAAGTTGAAGACACAGATGAATCACAGGGATGTTAGGAAGTATTTCTTCAGCCACAGAGTAGTCAGTAAGTGGAATAGTTTGGGAAGCGATGTAGTGGAGGCAGGATCCATACATAGCTTTAAGCAGAGGTATGATAAAGCTCACGGTTCAGGGAGAGTGACCTAGTAGCGATCAGTGAAGAGGCGGGGCCAGGAGCTCGGACTCGACCCCCGCAACCTCAACTAGGTGAGTACACACACACACACACACACACACACACACACACACACACACACACATAGCAGTCAACATGGTTTCAGGGACGGGAAATCCTGTGTCACAAACCTACTGGAGTTCTATGACATGGTGACAGCAGTAAGACAAGAGAGAGAGGGGTGAGTGGATTGCATCTTCTTGGACTG